TCCAATCTAGTAGTGAGATCCTGAACACCCTGTAGACTCTTCCCTAAAAATAAGAAAAATAAATATATAGATAAATAAAAATAAAACAAATTACCTTGAAAAAGCCAAAAATGATCACCAACGCAATCCCTTATAGGAAAGCCCTTGTTCAGTATTTGTGCCCGCCTGCTACATTACTTGCTTTCCCATTTGATCGTGAGTTAATCAATTTTACCTGAACAATTGTACTCATACTCTTACTGGTTGACCACAATTTTGTCCCACCTCACGCCCACCTTGTGAGTTCCCTTGTTTTCTACCTTGGACTCACCTTTTATCATGGATTCGCTCTATAAAAATCCCTAGATATGGCAGGGTCCTTGGCAACTCACTTGGGTCCACCTTTTGTCCTTCTCTTGGACAGCTTTCTTTCCCTCAAAAAAGATAGTCTACTCTTAACCTCCATTGTTACTACAATTAATTCTTCGATTTTAGAGAACACAAACTAGTCCCAGATATCTTTCAGGTTGGGAGTTTCTCTCTCCTATTAGAAACACCAATAAATGTAATGTTGAACATGTCTGATTTGAACTATTCAGATGGAAATAGATGCTCAGCAGGCAAGTGGGTAAACTAATTTGGAGCTCAGGAAAATAAGTACAGCTAGTATTGCAAGTTGGGGTTCATAGTTGGTAGCTGAAGACATGGGAGACAGACATTTTTTAAAAATTGTATTTATTTCTCGATAATTTTATTGAGAAACAAATATCAATGAGACAGTTTCAAATCAAATTGGTAGGACAGTTTCAATAATTAATACATTGCATACATTCTTCCTAGTGGTTAATTGCTGTACAAGATGTGGACATGATATTCTTTTAACAAACACCATTAGAACAAATCCCTCTATTGATTAAGAGAATGTAACTATATATCTATCCTAAGCACTTTGAATACACAGATACAAAATAGACATTTATCTGTATCCCCTTTTTTGTTAAGTTCCGTTATTTGAATATTATAGGTGTGTAAACTCAGCAAAATATTCTAAAAGAGTCCAGTAGCTCATAGTAGTATTGAGTCTTCCCTTGACTGGCCATGTCAGAAATTGTTGACCTGAGTCCCCCATAGCTAAACATAACAGCATGACTTTACTTCTTATACTTCGTCTTTATACTTTTCTGCTGGATGGTTAAGACCAAGGTAAAGCAGGACCTATGCAACAAGAGTTG